TAAGTTTTAAATCCCTATGTATGGGATATTTACACCCCATCCAAGTTTTGTGCAAATATTTCAAGTCCATTATTCCAGTCTTCAGATATTGGCAGAAAGTCAATAAATATAAATATTATAATAAAGACTTAATTCATGATACATGCTGTGGAACCTTTAAAAAGCTATATGAATCCATAAGCTTATGGAGTTCAACACTGAAACTCCTGCACTAACATATGTTACAATTTCAAGACGTAGCTCACTCTCCAAAATTTACCCTACAGTAGCAATGTGAACACACACAAAGGGGCTGTGGCGAAGAATTCCTGTGTGTGAGAAAAACATGATATCAAAGCAACACATGATTGGTTTATAAATAATACGAGACATTTTCAGTCTGGGGATTTAGGTAAATGAAGAAACAGTAAACTAGTTTGATGATCCTAGTAGGGAAAAATAAGACTTACATAGACTTCCCATTAAAAGCCTGATCTCCTTTATTCATCACAAAGCTTTTGCATAGACCTTTAAAATATACAAAACACTGGCCAGAACTCTGCTTACAGACGACCATCATCCATGATCACCACGTCTTTAGTTCCAATAGTAGCCATGTTCACAGGAGAGACAAGTGGGAAGGGGTGAGGTTTGGACAACCACAAGGAATACGGACTTAACAGGACTCATCTGCTAAGTGGCTATTGTGAGTTTTCTGATGTACAGCAAGTGGATACATGGTGACAGCCTTTGGTGGACCTCTGGGATGGGTAAGCAAACTTGTGTTTACCTGAGACAAGATGCTCAATTGGTACAGACTTCAGCCCAGGCTATAAAGTGGAAGAGCCCAACTAGTAGAAACTTCCACATTTTAATTGTAAGATTTGCAGGCTTTCAATGGAACCTCCACCGTGGTAGTAAACTGTACGTAAAGCTATTACAGAAGACTGTGTTTCAAAACACAAAGTGGCAGGTGATGGCTATGTACTTAATGTATCTTTGGTTTAGGAAGACGAGAATAACGATTGGATGCCAAACAATCCCCAGGATGCAAGTTGCCATTCGGATTCTGCATGATTTCTTTTTGTCGTGTGAGTGGCCTTGGGATGCTGGTCTTGGCCTGGACATTTTGAGGCTCTATTCGGGGGGTGCTTACTTGTTTCTGTTTGAAAGAGCAAGAAGGGGGGCGGAGCTTAGACACTTTCAGATTACTTGCAAGATTTGTTGGACTAGATGTTGGCTGAAGTTTTGCTGAATGACATGGTGCGATTATCAGTGACTTCTTACAAGTGGGAGGAGTCCGATTTGCAGATGATTCCGATTCTGGAGGAGGTGCCAAAGAATTCAGAATGGATGGCTTTAAAAGCTGCAAAGACTTGGGCTGAGAAGGGTAGCCCACTGGTGGAGACTGATCTTGTCCAACTCTCTCAGCCTGGTCTACTGTACTTGATTGAGGAGCTGTCTGAAGAGAAGTAGCTACAAACTGCATGTCACTAGGTTGATTCTTTGCCAAATGATAAGGCTCTTGAGCATTCACGGTCACATTCAAGTTTGCTTCAGAAGGTGTCCTCTTAGCCACATCCATCATGAACTGTGGGCTTGACGGAAAAGGCCGGTCTTCCAAACCGCAGTTGCTTTCTTGCCGTAAGCTGTGCGTAAAGCTTTCATCCAGAGGTGCGATGCCCTGATGCGTGCCCTGGGCTGCGCACTCACTGCGGGCCTCGGTAGGTTGCGGCTTTATTAGTTTTCCCTGGGCGTGGTCTGTGGGTCTGGGAAGGCTGCTGGAAGGCTGTAGTACTTGAGGCTGTTAAAATTGAAAACATTAGCGAAAATTTATCTGAAAAATAGTACCCAGGACTAATGTAAGTAAAGTTTTAATCAGGCTGTGTTGACATTTATGCTTTAATATGGAAAGTATTTTTAACAGTTAAAAAAGAAATAATATAAAAGCAAATTTATGAGACACATACAAGAGTGATAATGCAAAAAACAATGATACAGGCAGTTAACACTAAACAAGACTCAAAATTAAATGCGGGAAAAGAAAACCATAAAATACCAATTTATCATCAAATAAAATCGCTGCCTTAATAGATTAAGTATTTACAACCTTATTTTTAAGAGCCTGACAGAATGATTTCTAAAGCACATTGGTTTAATCACCACAAAGTACTCAGATATTAACTGGTGACCTTCAGAGTATCACCCATTTGAAAAAAGAATTTCTTTAAAGTTGTATACCACACTATCAAGTGCTGTGCCTTAAATTACAATTCCAGCAGAGAAACATGCTTTATATTCTCGGTTTATGCTCCAAAAAGAGGCCAATACACTTGGCACACACTAGCCTACCTTTACCATTCTCATGGAGAAGTCGGAGGACAAAATGCTCCAAAGCTTATCTGCTCTGTGTCATCGCCAGCACAGCTGACACGTTACATGCACAGCGTGCACCACACTCAAGAGCGAAGATCCATGTAGTAAAATGAACATGAGCAGCTCTGAATGACAACCAAGAGTCAAACGAATGTGAACTTGCCTCTAGCAGGAAAAAAAGCACAGAAAGAAACCTAAGACAGAAGAGTTCTTGGGCCAGTGTGCCTCACATGTACTCCTATGAAGTTCACTGTGTGGGTCCATTCCACAAATACCAGGAAAAATACATTATTTCCATTACTGCTGGACATCCAGTCAAAAAAAAAGAATTTTGGGGCCAGCACTGTAGCATGTTAGGCTAAGCCTCTGCCTGCAGTGCCAGGATTCCATATAGGGGCTGGTTCACATCCTGGCTGCTTGTCTTCCAATCCAGCTCTCTACTAGTGGCCTGGGAAAGCAGTGGAAGATGGCCCAAGTGGTTGGGCCCCCTGCACCCACATGGGAGACCTAGAAGAAGTTCCTGACTCCTGGCTTTGGATCAGCTCAGCTACAGCTGTTGCAGCAATCTGGGGAGGGAACCAGCAGATGTAAAACCTTTCTCTCCCTCTCACTGTCTATAACTCTACCTCTCAAATAAATAAATAATAAAATCTTTTAAAAATATACACGAATCTTAAAAGTTATCTTTCAGTGGGTCAAACAATGAAAACAAACAGGGTAGCACATACAACTCCATCTGAGGTTAGTTGGCACAAATATTTGTGTATGTGTGTGTGTGCTTGAGAGAGAGGGAGAGACAGTCTATTAAATAACGTGGGCTAAAATATCAAAGAGTACAACAAAGAAATGTGAACTTTAAAGAACCATTTTTCATAAGTAACTTTTTATATGCTAATCTACAAATAAATCTTTACAGTGTCTTGAATTTCTTTAACACAAAGAGCAGCTTGACTTATGCCGCATCCTTTGTGTTTTTTTACTTCTTTCATCTCCTTGATCAGCACTGGATGATGTCTTCCTAGTCAAGAGTTAGACCGTGAAAGGGCTGGGAGTGACTGAGCAGACTCACTGACTTATGAAAGGATGGTTGGTCATGATAGCATGAGCTGAATTGATATAAAAAAAAAAATCAAGGAGTCGGCACTGTGGTGTAGCGAGTAAAGTCACCACCTGCAGTGCTGGCATCCCATGTGGGCGCCAGTTCTAGTCCTAGTACCTTCACTTCCGATCCAGCTCTCTGCTATGGCCTGGGAGGGCAGCAGAAGATGGCCCAGTGCTTGGGCTCCTGCACCCGTGTGGGAGCCCTGGAAAAAGCTCCTGGCTCCTGGCTTTGGATCAGCTCAGCTCTGGCTGTTGCAGCCATTTGGGGGAGTGAAGCAGTGGATGGAAGACCTCTTTCTCTCTTTTTGCCTACTTTACCTTTCAAATAAATCAATTTTTTTAAAAAGACAAACCACGACTGAAAATTATGCAAAGATATGTTTAAAATAAACAAGTCATCTAAGTTGTTCTTTTTAAGCTAAATGTCCAAGACTTCTAAAGTCCCTGGGCATTTTACGATAAATCAATGAATAAAAGAAGAGGCTACTAAAATCATCACATAATTGATTCAACAGATGCTTCTTGGGGTTCCCAGAAAAAGATCACACCAAAGTGATCACAAACCTTAGGAGGATTAGTGGGAAAATAGGGCAGGAGCGTATCAAGGAAACCAAAATCTACCAGAGGAAAAAAGGTAATCAGGGAGGAGAAGAGTGGCAGCAAATAGCTGATTGAGTGGGGATTTGTTTTCCCTTTTCACCTTCTAAGAGAGTAAGAAATTCTTGTCTCAAGTTAAAAGTCTAAAAATACCAGTGATAGAGAGGAGAGTTGTGGTGCAGAGGATTAAGCTGCCACTTGATGCCAGCATCCTGTATCAGAGCATCCGCTGGAGCCTGATCCAGCTCCCTGAGAATGTGCCTGGAAAGGCAATGGATGGCAGTTCAAATGCCTGGGCTTCTGCCACCGAGCTGGGAGACCCAGATGGACTTCGTGCCTCCTGGCTTTGGTATGGCCCAGACCTGGCTGTTATAGTCATTTGGGAGTGAACCAGTGGATGAAGATTTTCTCTTTCTCTCTCTCTCTCTCTCTCTCTCACCTCTTACTCTTGCCTTTTAAATAAGTAATCTTTAACAATAAATAAATATCAGCAAAATTTAAAAATTGTGTTTTTCTCTAATGTCTATCTCTATCAAGGAAAAAAAGGTATAAATGTGCTAGCAGCTTAAAGCATAAAAAGGTATGATTTTCCAATTCAGATAAAGTAAAGAATTGATTATTAACCAAACCACCAGACTCACTGTGACCTGCGCTAAATGACCCATCCACACTCTTCTGAGTGCTCACGTTACCCAGCTGACCACTGCTTATCTGAGAAATAACTGGAAACACAGCAGAGTCAGAAAGACACACTGATCATAAGTATAAGAAAAGCCTCTATTTCAAATATTAAAGAGTGAGAGAAATGACCAAGAATAATAAAGTGTTGAGTCTTTTAACAGAGAGGAGTTCAAATGAATAATCAAATAAAAGCCTAAACTTTCTCTTAATCACATTAAGTAAATCAGTGGCTTTTATTTACTAAATAAATGTCGCTTTGTACTTTTATCTTTTTAATGGTGTAATTTTTCTATCCTCAAATAAATATCTTGGTTTGTTATTTGAGAACTATGGTTTAGAAAATCAATTCCTGTACCGTGAAGCAAAACATCTCTTTTAAGAATAAAAAATGACGGTAACGCAAGAACCAAGGAAATCACTTGCTGTGCATACATGGAAGACTATGTGGAAGTGGTTAGCCACTGAGGACTGGAGTGCCGCTACCTGCCGGCAAGTTGGACAAGCTGCTTCTTAAGCTCTCGATATCAAGCAGAACAGATGTGTGTTTTAATGGCTGTTAAATTATAATTTCCCCAAACTCCAAGCACTCATCTGTGTTAATTTAAAGGCAAAGATGCTAACAATTCATCATGTCGACATCTACTACTGCTTCAAAGGTCATAAAAAAGAAAAAAAAAGTCCTTACACATCTTTAGAATGAATACTAAATATAAGAAGAAAAGATCTCAAATTCCAAGACCAATAAGGCTAACAGAAAGGAATATCAAAGATTACTTTAGCAGGATGAGGTGGAGTTTGCCAAGTAGATGAAGACCTTCTGGGTAGCAGGCCAGCACATGCTAGGCACAGAGGCTAATGATAATAATAGTAATATTAAACAGCTTATTCGAGTCACTTCAAGTTGTCAGACTGAATTTGGAGAACCCAGTGTTGGTAGGAAAACAGGGCCAGCTCATTGAGGGATTGATGGCCATTAACTGATGGCTGACACTGGTGAATTTTACGTTACCAGAGAAACTGTAATATACAATGTGTTTTAGAATGAACACCCTGGGGTAGTCAGTGAGGAATGTGCCCAGAGAGGATGAGCTTCTGAAGCAGCACAGCCAGGTAGCAGCTACTGCTAACAGCCCAAGTGATAAACTTTAAGTTTCTAAAATTAGGATACTGGGTACAGAAAACAGGAGAGGACTGAAAGAGGTTTGAAGGTGGGGCAGACAAGATGAAGTGCAGTCTTACATTCATTCAAAATGAAACAAATGCCTCTGGAGAAGTTGTCCAGCAGCCCACAAGACCAGAAGGCAAAAGAAAGCCCCCCTAACACACACACACACACTGGAGGGCTTCAGTGAACTCCTTGCAGTCACCAACGAACAGAGTTCTCAGTGCGCCACCCTTGCAGCTCGTGCAGGAGCTGGTGACTGAGACTTCAGATTCCATCCCTAGACTTAAAGAGCCAGGTACCTCTGGCTGGACTCAACAACCTGAAGTCTTACTTTAGTTGAACACACAACTTCAACACACCTGAGAACTCTCAGAGTACATGGTTATGTGTCAAGGTCAAATGGGCCGATGTGCAAAGGCCTGGTAGTCATCTTTAATAAGAATCTTAAACGTCTATTTGGGGCTGCTTACAGAGACAACCAGAGCCCATGAGCTTCTCACAGGCACGTTCTAGGTTTTATTCATTTTTGTCTTGCCTGGTATCCTACACATAGTGGGTATTAAATATTTGCTAGATAAATGAATGAATGAATATTTGTTGCATATTTAAGAATTTCTTGTTTAGCCATAAAATTATCAAAGTGATGCTTTCCTATTAGATCAGTGATAAAGTATTAATCATTAAACAGTAACCAGTCTAAAAACAACACTGATGAACAATCTGATAATGGGGGGAAGATGATTTTCTCTGCCTGATTGTTCACGTATTTTAAAATTTGGTAATTCATAGCACTGTGAGTGATTATTTATTCAAGAGGCAGAGTCAGAAACAAACAGAAAGAGCTCCTATGAACTGGTTCACTCTCCAAATGCCCACAATGATGGGAAGGAGGGGGAAGGTTAAGAGCCTGGAATTCAATCCAGGTCTTCCATATGGATGGTAGGAACCCAACTATTTGAACTACTACCACCACTGTCTTCCCAGGGTCTGTGTTAGCAGGAAATGACCAGAAGCTGGATCTGGATCTATGTATATCAAGCCTAGGTAGTTTGATATGAGATACAGGCATCATAACCAGTGTTTTAAATGCCAGGCCAAATGCCTACCCCGATTATTTGCGTTTAAAAGGACAGAAGGAAGGATTAATTATATCCTAATTTGAATCTAAGTATCCTCATAATGATCCAGAAGTTTATTCATCAAATATCTTTGACTTAAAAACTAGGCCTTTCTAGACTAAACAACAGGGTGGGAAAACTTTCTTAACGAGCATTTGCTATTTTCCATTTCTAATTCTAATAAAATATGACTATCCATGTAAAACACTTGGCACAGGGTCTCCTAGCCTACAGTAAGCACTTAGTAAATGTTACCAATGATGGGGCAGATTTTGAGTCTAGTAGTTAAGATGCTGTTTAAGATGTCTATGCTCTACATCAGAACACTTGGACTTGATACCTGGCTCTGGTTCCTGATTCCAGCTCCAGGGAAGATAGTGATGATGGCTCAAGTAACTCGGCTCCTGCCAGGGGAAACATGATTAATCTCCCAGCTCCTTGCTTTAGCCTGGCTAAGCCCCACTCATTGTGGGCACTTGGGGAAGGATTCAGCAAAGGTGAGTTCTTTCAGTTTCTCGACCAAATAAAACACTTTAAAAATGTTACTGATGAGGTAGTCATTGTGGTACAGTGGGTTAAGCCACTACTTTTTTGACACCAGCATCCCATATCAGAGTGCTGGTTAGAGTTTCAGCTTCTCCACTTCCAATCTAGCTTACTGAAAGTGCCTTGGAAGGCACCAGAAAAGGGCTCAAGTACTTGTGCCCTTGCCACCCATGTGAGAGATGAGTGCTCCTGGCTTCAGTCTGGCCCAGCCCTGGCTGTTGTGGCCATCTGGGGAATGAACCAGTGGATGGAGCATCTTTCTTTCTCTCTCCTTTTCTTCCTTTCAAATAAATAAATCTTTTTAAAAAATATCTTTAAAAAATGTTACCAACGGCCGGCGCCGCGGCTCACTAGGCTAATCCTCCACCTAGCGGCGCCGGCACACCGGGTTCTAGTCCCGGTTGGGGTGCCAGATTCTGTCCCGGTTGCCCCTGTTCCAGGCCAGCTCTCTGCTGTGGCCCGGGAGTGCAGTGGAGGATGGCCCAGGTGCTTGGGCCCTGCACCCCATGGGAGACCAGGAAAAGCACCTGGCTCCTGGCTCCTGCCATCGGATCAGCGCGGTACGCCGGCCGCAGCGCGCCAGCCGCAGCGCACCCGCCGCGGCAGCCATTGGAGGGTGAACCAAAGGCAAAAGGAAGACCTTTCTCTCTGTCTCTCTCTCTCACTGTCCACTCTGCCTGTCAAAAAAATAAAAAAATAAAATGTTACCAACAATCATTAAAAAGTGTAAGAAAGATGAACTCAAATAATGGCCCTTTTGTAACTGGGTCTGGGAATAAAGAGGCAAGTTCTTCAGCAGTATAATAAACTAGCTGCTATAAAATACAAAGTCTCTAGATTTCAAATACAGAGTTCAACAATACAAATAAGCCTTTAAAAAAAGATCTATCTAAATGTTTTCAATCAACAACAGACATACCTGCCATGACCACTGACACCTGTATGCACTACCTGCCTTCCTGGAGGTTAGAACTGGAAGTAGGACATTATGCTTAGAAAAGATTCTGACTGGAGTCTATGAAGGAGATGGTCCAGCACAGTATAGAAACACTTAGCTTTGGGGTCAGATTGGTCTGAGGTCTGAGTCTCAGCCCTGGGTCTATCACTTGCTTTGTGAGACAGTGGGGAAGTGGTCTCACTGCCCTGAAACAGAACTCCACAATTTATAACATGAGGGTAATACCAGTATCTATACCTCATGGAATTGCTGTCAATGATAAACAAAACCTGCATGCAAGGTACTTAACACAATGCCTGGCACAGTACAAGTACTTGGGTAATTTTGGACTCAGCTCTAAGAGAACAGGGTTAAAGGTAGACTCCAAACTAAATTTGCAGGCATGATCTCTGATCATTGAGACAGAAGGCATTGTCCTCTGTTTTTGTAAATAGTAAATTGAAGTCTAAATAAGTAACATGTCCAAATCACGTATTTTAGTAAACAGCAAAGCCTGAATTTGAGCCATAAGAGAATTTGAAATGCAACACTAAAATGTCATTATTCTGTGCTGTCTGGGTAGTTCTGAGGAGTTCACAGGTTCCCAAAATATGCGACACCGCCATATTATTTTCAGTGTTAATATACTTAAAAACCCCATAGTCAGATTCAATGACATCATTCAGGTACTGACTTTCCTGGACAATGCCCTGTTTCTTTCTTAGCTGATACAGCCTACACAGGAAAACTCTCAGATGTCGAACTTGAGCTACACTGTGGACTAGTATCTCTAGAAAGAAGTGGCTCCACTGACTGAAACTGAGAAAGGCAAATGACCACTCATGAGGGACAAAATCTCTTCCCCGTCACTGTTTCTCAGGCCACTTCAAAGACCTCTTGCAACAGCTTAAGGAAAAGGACTCATTCCAGTATTTGTAAACATTCTTGTTCTAGGGTCACTAGCAAAAAGATGGTAGCTAAAAATGTCAAGTCCCGATTGAGTAAAAATATACCAAAGTGTGCTAAGTAGAACGCAGGAAATGTTTTAAGTGTAAAAATGCTACTGTGTAACAGATATAGGAATTCACTTAAGCTATTTTCTGGGGATAGTCAAGTTTATTTAAATATATTTGAGATTAAAAGGATGATGGAAATGGAGCCACCTGTACCATGCCTGTAATTTCATGCAGGCTCTGACATGCATCATGCAAACTGGAAAAAACAAAAACAAAAAAGTAACTTATGAGAAAGGTGGTAGAAAAAAATCTGAAATTGTACTGTACCACGCTTTGTCAGAGAAGTAATGGACTAACTTCTCAACTCCTTGCCAATGGCATAATGGGAGAGCAGAGACAAGAAAAAGACAGGACAATGGCATCAGAGACCACACACAACACCAAGGATTGCCATGTCTGGGTGGCAGCCAAAAGGACTGGCTTTGCTATCATTGTGTTTTTCTAGGCAGTATTCATTATTTTATTTAATATATTTGTATATAATTAAAACATTTTAAATAATTTGTGCTTCTTACTAAAGTGGTTTTCAAGTCAGTACAAATATCACAGAAAGGCAACTTTTTGTTTAAAACTTAACTTATAATACTTAAAAGAATCACTTGAAGAATCTTGCCAAATACTGAAACAATTCTGACACAACTTAATATCCATACTCCAAAAACCTAAAAAGGTTTATTTAGCCTTTGTAATCTCTTACAAAGGAAGTAGCAACTGCTGTCTTAATAATTTCAGAATTTCTTATGTATTATAAAACTAAGTAAACTCCAGCATTTGTTAGTTTATTTTTATTACAGCTATTGCATTTAATACCACTAATAGTATAATCTGATTTTAATTATATAGTGGATCATAAGTGAGGCTCCACACATCGCTGTGCAGGTGGAAGACGTCATTAGTTCCCTCTAGATTAAAACAGACTTTTGCTTTAGACGTCACATGAACGCAATCACAGACTCCAGTGTTTCTTGAGAACAGGGAATGTTTTTATTCCTCTGGATCTCAGAAAACTTAAAGAGAATACCTGATTGATAAATAGAAATAATTTACAAAGAAATTCTGAAATAAGGAGTTCAATAGCTTTTCTGAGTTGAAGACCAGTTAATTGCTTTCAAAAATTAGCAAAGTGATTAAGAGTAATTTATTTACTACATAGGCACAATCAGTGTGACATGATTAATTTCATGGGTCTATAGCTAAAAGAGACAGAATCCATTAGTATCTACCTCTCAGATGCAGAGTAGTTCAGAAAAAACTAAGTAGCACTATAATAGTAAAATTCCGTTGGTGTAACAATATGCATGGTATATTTATCCAGCATAGGACACTGTAAGCACTAAAACACAGCAACAAATACTAGCCAAAGGAACAATCTCAAAATCTGCACAGCAGATTGCTATAACAAGCTTTTACAGAAAATATTAATTGCTGTGTTTCTCTTAATTGCAGTGAGAGAAATTAACACATGCCTAGGTTTATGGGCGGGCCTACTGGACCATGAGTTAGATGCACATTTCCGAATAATCAATGACTATACTAGACAGCATTCAAAATTAGCTAGAAAAATGAACACAGTACCACATTCTACATTAACAACATTTAAATAATAAATTAGCTTACCATAAAATCAAATTAGTCCCTAATGAGTTACCCTGGCTCCATTTCAATCAAAAATATTTTATTTTTATGAAAAGTCACACCCAGAGTTAATTTCCAATTAAAGCACTGAGGCTAAAACTATTCTTACAAATCAAATTGGTTATAGCTACATGTTTAAGTCAATCAGATTAATTTATACCATATTAATTTATACCTTACAAACATGTCTGACAATTCAACAAAATACATCAAGTGCCCCTAGAAGGTATACACCTTGTGATTAAGTAAAATCCTTCCAGGAATCTCCCTAAGAAAAGAGAGATGCTGGGACCAGCACTGTGGAATAGAGGGTTAAGTTGCCATCTACAGTGCCAGCATCCCATATGTGTATTGGTTCAAGTCCTGGCTGCTCTGCTTCCCATCCAGCTCTCTGCTAATGCACCTGGGAAATCAATATAGGATAGCCCAAGTCCCTGGGCCCCTGCACCCACATGGGAGACCCAGAAGAAGCTCCTGGATGCTGGCTCTTGCATGGCCTAGCTCTGGCCATTGCAGGATAATCTCTACAACTAAGAATAACATCCACGTCCAATGACAGGAAAAGGCTAAGCCAGACGGTATCTACATAATACTGAGTTATGCTGCCAGTAAAATGGGATTTCAAGAAATATTTGCTTTTTGAAAAACATTTATAAAATGATACTATATGGAAAAACAAAAACAAAAAGCTGAAAATATGTAAAGATTCCAACTTAGCCAAATTAAAACAGACTGGAAGGAAATATATAAAAATGTTTATTTTCTTTTTTTCTAATTCCTTCATGAGCCATTAAATTACTTTTATAAATAGGGAAAATATAAATTTTACAGAGTCATTGCATTTACAATAAATATTTAAGGGTCAAGCTCTGGGCTTAGGATGGAATTTAATTCTGGCAAGAAATGCTTTCTGGGGTTACCATTAAAGCACTTCTTTGGCCAAAAGCAATTATTTTATTAATTTTCCTGCTATAAGGTAGGCTATTTATCATTGGAAATTACGGTAGAAAGATTAAACCAATGTCAGTTAACTGAATGTGGACCAAAAGCTGAAACCCCTACTGACAGCAGGAAAAATCTCTATACGTTTAAATGTAGATGTTTTCTGATAATTTAGAGAAAAATTTAATTTGAAATCAGAGAATGAACATCATATAACAGAGAACAGTAAATTTCAGAAAACAAATGTAGGTCAAAAATTCCATAGAAAAAGAAAATCTCACTTAATAATCGGGATCTTCCCTTCATCTCCAGCTTCCTAGAGTTATTC